TTTTTGAAAATTTTGAGCAACTTGACAAAGAAGCTGCATAAGCACTACATGCCAAAACCTTGTGGGGAAACCCTGTACATGTACATCCTCATTTAAGGCATACATGTACATGTACATGTACAGTAAAGGCTGGTTTACAATATGACATTAGGTCAGTGTACTGTCAATTTTTAATCAAAAGCATGGGCAATTTGACCTTTTGATGCATGCTTTCTGTTAGAATAGAACCAGATTCTATTCCAGCGTCAACGTAGCATCAGGACTAGTGTAATATTGTAAAGCATGCAGCCTTTAGTGTGTCAGTATATGCATCAATCATTAACCTCCAGTGTCCTGATTCTTGGCTGCACTGGAGTAAGAGACAGACTTAGCTTCAGAACAATTGATGAGTGAAGAGAGTCCCATCACATCTTCACTTTCATGATCTTCCAACAACTCCTCACGAACACTCTACATGCATAAAATACATGTATACATGTATATATAAATACATGTACATGTAACAATAATAGTAAAAATAACTATCATTATTCTGTAAGCTAATATCTGCATGCTAGGACAATCGCTACATAATAAAGAATACATGTACATGTATCAGTAATCACTGGATACATGTACATGTATATTGTCAATAAGTATAATTTTATTACTACATGTAATTACGGACACCTTGGTACTCAATAATACCCTCCTGATTATGAACCTGTCCTTATTTCAGAGGTTCATTAATACACATTACTATTGTATTGGGACTGATACTACCTGTCCTCATTATAGAGGCCTCCTTATTTTAGAGTGTCCACAATAGCAGGCTATACTGTAATACATTTATTTGAACTACATGTACATGTACATGTACTTAACATTAGTACAAGTAATCACATACATGCATACATGTATACTGTCCATTCATTATTAGTACATTACACTACATATACTGGTAATACTGGATAGCATTACTTACTTCATCAGGGAAAGCACAGTTCATGATCAGCTCATTAATGATGAGCAGTGATCCATGAATACGATCATCTCTCCCAAGGTTACCAGCTTTATCCTTAGACCCACTACCACTGACACTGCCAACACCATCCACCAGTCCAGATACTGCTTCTTTATATGCCAACTAGCAGTAACAAGAAACAATAGTAATGTATTAGATGGGATTACAGATATAATATTATTGTATGTACAGTACATGTACATGCACATATAAATTAATGAGACTTAAAAGAAATTTAATATCTTAGTAGGACTATAGCATATTATTTGTGTATAAATAAATGTAATATTATGCATGTACTATTGCACTGTAAAAGTATAGTTGTACATACATGTACATGTACATATGCATGTACATATACATGTATGTGTATTATTTTTACCTCATAATAGCGAATGCTGATGGTTTCCTTGTCTTCCCTTTCAGCTACTAGTCTCAGACAAGCCTTCAGTGCTAACATTGCTTTCTCTCTAATCAAAAGCTAAAGAGAAAGAAACAATAATGACACAGAAAAACATCAAGAAGATCACACATATAATGTACAATGTAGCAATCATGCCGTAATTGATATTATAATTTACATACAGTATGTACATGTACATGTAAACAAGAGTGGATAATTATTTAG